GCACAATAATGGTACGCGGAAATTCTCTAGTTGAAGATTTAGGATTCTTGATTGGCAATTCTCGATATAGCGATTTAGTGATTAGATGCAAGAATGATGTGGTCCTTTACGGAAACCGAGCAATTCTTGCGGCACGATCCGAGGTACTTAATAGAATGCTCTTTACAGAAATGACGGAAATTCCTTGCAATCAAATTTCATTTCCGGATGTCGAAATATTACCTATGAAAGTCATACTTAAGTATCTATATACAGAAAAAATTTCCGAAAGTGATGTCACCACAGAGAATGCCTTTGGAATTTTACACGCAGCAAATTTCTTCCAATTAGAAAACCTTCAAGACGATATTTTAGGAATCTACAAAAGGTTGTGCAAAAAGAAGGGCAATGAAAAGAAATTACCCGAATTATTATCTAGAGCAACTTATATAGTATCATCTCTGGCTGATAATAGCATAATTCATTATCTAGTAAATTCAGTGGCTAGAATTCCACTGGATACTATGGAATTTAACAGATTGTCATTTCAAGGCCTACAATGTTTATTGTTAATGAGAGATAGAACGCAAATATTTTCATCCAGTGAATATTCTGTTTTTCGATTTGTGATTTTAACGGCCGCAACAAGGATATCTGGAGAAGCATTTTGCGTGTTAGAGAAAAAATTACCCCCATGGAACGAAATCGAGGAATTACTTAATGCGGTTAAAAATAGTTCTATCGGTGAAGAGATTGGTACTTCAGTTGCTGATATTATAAGTCCTGTCGTAGATTATATTGAATTTCGAAGGATTGATGCAAAGGTTATTGCAAAAATAATCGAACCACTAAATATTGTTCCGATTAACAATATACTCGACTCATATCGATTTCAAGCTTGCGTGAAAACACAGTTACCGCCATTTTATGGAGACTCTACTATTAAATGGGATAGAGTTTGTTGTGGTCCAGATTTAAAAATCAGCGAGGATGGAGAAACAGTTAGTGCATCTCCAAATACAAACGGTCATCAAAGTGTAAGAACCAATAAACTTATGAGGAGTGGCACTCATGAATTTCATGTTCAAATCGAAAGCGCTTGTCAGTCGTGTTATTTCGGTGTTTGTGGCGAAGATCTCGATTTTTCTGATGCTGCTGGATCTCAACCGTATGGATGGGTTTTAGGTTCATCCGGACTTTACTACAATGATTATCCATATCCTTTACCTGACACTCGTTATTTTGGAAACGACAATGACAAAATCATCATATACCTTGACATGGACAAAAAGAAGATCTCGTTTTCAATCAACAATGTAGAACATGAGCCGCCTGATGCAAGATGGAAAAATCTTACGTCCAACCTTTATTTTGTTGTTTCATTCTGTTATCCCGGAAAATTTAAAATTTTATTACCTGACCATTGGATTAAAGTCAAATTTCTACCAGGAATATTTGATTTGATTTAAATCTCATATTTTCGTGTTTTTAAATATCATAAATAAATGGTAATCCTTGCTTTGTAGTATATACAGTAAATATAGTAAAACAATTCTTTGTGTCGTTTTTCTTTAAATACCTTGAAATTATGAATTCTGATTATAATAATGAATTGACATGAGTATATGCAGTGTGCAAAATATTTGGTTGACCAATTTTTTATAATATACTGTATATTAAAATAATAATAAAATTTTATTTTATTTTATTTTTTAGTTTATATGAACAAATCAAGTAATTTCGAAACAGACAATAAAATGTTCTTATCTATCTAATATGAGCATGGTATATTTCATGTTATTTGACATTAAAGTTCTTCTTATTTATTTTATCTTCGTTACATTAATCCTGATTTGAGTGAAAAACATAAAATATTTAAGTTTAGAGTTTTATTATATCAAATATAAAAATGACATTTCAAGTACAAATAAAAATAATTGTCCGAAGCAAGGAAGGCGAGGATTTAAGGAGCAAAAAGTGGTCATTTCCGCATTTTTTTAATGACCAACGATTTCTATATAAAAATAAACAATTTTTATTTAAATATTTTAAATTATAATATTAAACCCTATCAACTCGCCAAATTCACATCATTTCTGCCTTACCTAACCCCACAATACTTACCCTTCTGTCCGATAATCGTACTAGACCTGAAACGCCATACTTTGCGTCGCTGCTAACAATAAATGGCGTTATAACGAGCGCACATTTTAAAAGGTAATTGACCCTAACATTATTGTTTTCATTATTTCTTTTGTTTCTTAATAATCTGCGTGTCAATGTTAGTAAAATAAAAAAGAATATAACTCAGACCGATAAAATCTCATACTTATCTAATCTGCCTTGCCTAATAAATTCCCAAATCCTACAAACCTGCCAAATCCTTCCCCCTCGTAAACCTAACTGAACCCTGACCGTGAGGTCAAATATTGCGCCGTGACCATGTCACCAACCCATAATGGATCAATTCTCTTAACAATTTATTGTTCGGCAAGGAAGATTGCACCTTCTAAATAAAGACATATGGATCACATTTACCAGACATTCCTAGAATAATCATAAAGTTAGCATACGGTCAAATTTCATAACTCAAAGGGTAAAGTACTATAGTAATAAGTATTTATCCTAAATACTTCACTACGGTTTGGATATTTGAAATGTTTTAAATAGAACTTACTGTATAACCCGCAATCACAGTAGTTCATTGGCAATAGGAATTTTATAGAAATATTTATATAAATGAACCTTATTTGCTCTAAAACTCGCGTTAATTATTTATAATCTTAAGTACAACCATGCATGGAAAACAGAAATCCAGTAAATACGATTGGTACGAATGTATTTTAAATTTTACTCTCGAAGTAGATAATAACGGCATTAATAAACTCGTTATTATTTTTTTAAAAATGTATTGTATGTATACAGTATATTTAGAAAACTAGAAGCTCGAATAAATCGGAATACCATGTCAAATCAAAAATGACCAGATAATTCTTATTTTCTATACAATAATAATATATTTGCCTAATTTGTTTTATTAAAGAGGTTAATTTCGAAATTTTCTTTTTGAAAAAACTAGTTTGACTGCAAAAACGCTGACACATAAAAATTAATGTTCATTATTAATTGGGACCATATCCGGCAGCATGGTTTTTAACTCTAAATGTTCGATGAGTTTGAGAAATAAATATGAAGGAAGATTCATCTTTGAGAAAAAAACATTCCAAAGGGAAATTTATTAATATTACTTTCTGACCTTTTCTTATTACTGTACGAACAAGTATTCATATAAACATCATATTTAATCGATGTTAGATTTACAGTACAATGGTACAGTACCATGGAAGACCCTGCTGCGTATAAATACATCTCTGTTAATCATTGACTATTATGGATTTTTTTTTATTTTTAATACAGTACAGTACGATGCTCACTTTTTTTTCTGCATAATTTTAGATCTTATACGTCCCGAAAATAAAATTTGAAATATTCCATTAAAAAAACTAAGCCACTAATGAGTACGCCAGCTCGTCGAATTGTTCTGACTTTGTTCACTTCAAAACAATGTTCACTTTGTGTGGATGCCAAGCATTCCATTGAGCAAGTAAGAAACAAAGTACGTACATGATAATTTAATACTTGGATTATTCTGTTTTTGTTCTGATTACATATGTTTCATTCACAACGGTTCATTTCAGATTCCCTTTGAGTTAATTCATAAAGACATTAAACTTCCAGAAAACTTCTCATGGTTTCAACGATACAAATACGATATTCCAATACTTCATTTAAATAATCAGTTCTTATTCAAGCATAGAGTAAGTTCCGAGAAACTGGAAACGGTATTGAAGAAATACCTGAAAAACGGAATAATAAGCAAGGAAGATTGCGATCAGGAAGTTGTATGATTGAACCGATTTTATTTGAAATTTTTGTTAAAAGAATTCATCAACTCAAATAATAATTATGCATGGTAAAATAAAAGTCATATGGTGAATATTTATCAATGGTCTAAATATACAACTTGTATTTATACTGTATCAAGCGTGGTAGTTGTTAAATAGATATATATATTTTTTTTTAAAACAAAAGATCGAGTGCTTAACAAATAGGAAAAAAAAATGCAATTAAAATTAAATGATTTGTACATATCAAAGTTTTTACAATCTTGGTATAAAAAAATTATCAAAACTTTATTAAAAATATTTATCATGCGTGGAATTTCATAGGCAACAATAAAAAATTCATATTTTATACAGTTGCTTAAAATTTTGTAACCAGGATGCAAATTATTAACAAAAAAATTTTTTTTTATTAATTTTTTTGAATAATGATGTAAAATAACAAACATGTTAAAAAATTTTAGTGTTAAATAAAAATATCATATTAAGTAATTATATGTATCTTATATTTTATCTTTATATTTATTATTTAATAATTAATAATTTTTTATTAAGTACTTAATAGATATACCAGTTTAAATAATTGTTGTTTTTTTTTTTGCAAATAAACATTAGATGTATAAGTTTTATTAAACAAATATTTCTAATTATTATTTCAACAATATTTATTTAAATAAGTTAATTATAACTTATTGCAACTAAAGTAAAAATATTAACTGTGTACTATATAAGTAGATTTATATTATTAATACTAAATAACTAATGTTTATTCAAAACAAAGATATCATTATAATAATAAAAATAGATTGATTAATATTTAAATATTTATTTTTAAAATATTTATAATTGTATCAAAATATTGTTATTATTTTTAAGTTATAAAATTAAAGAAATACTTTGAAGTTTTTTTTTGTTTTATTTTGAAAGATAATAAAATAATAAAGATTAATCCTAATATATATAAAAGAATATTTTTTTAATATTAATAAAATTCCAACTTTTGTTAATATTTAAAATTATAAAAGCTTTTGCTATAGAAAAAAATACAGACAAGAATAAATTGTTTTTTGACTATATTTATTGCTTTAAAATTTTTTTCAAAATTTCTATATTTACAAAAAAACTTAAAAAAATATATCTTGAAAAACAACACATGAAAATATTTGGATATAATTGAAACTTTGCTTTTAAAAAGTTTAATAATATTTGAATAAACATTAGTCCTTATATATTAATTTATTTAAAACCTGATGAAAACTAATAAAATTGATAAAATTATCAAGATTATATTAACAATAAAAAATTATGCAACTAATAATATAAACTTGATACTGGATTCTTTTCAAGACTAATATATATATGGAAAAGTCTTAAATAAATTATTGCAATATGATTAGAAATAATAGTTAATTAACATGTAAATTTGAATACATATTATTAAAATTTATTTGATTTGTAATTAGTTAATAAAAAAACTAGATGCAAACTTTGTTCAGTATTAAAAAATATTTACAATATAAAATGTTTATAATTCAAAAATTCAAAATCTAACAAAAAATGTCAATAGTGAATACAAAAGTAATATTGAATATTAAGTCTTATATATAATAATATGACAACCATAAGAATACCAATCTGAAAACATATAATATATCAGTATGCTAAACACTATTAATATTTGAGTATCACTATAGAAATTGATTATTAGAACAGTATAGCAATAAAATTTTTAAATTAAAAATAGCATATTAAAGTATTACAATGATGATCTACATCAATAATTATTTCTAATTTGATAATTAGTTTGTAAAACTTATTGTTAAATAGGAAAAAATGTTATAATTATTAATAGCATTATTCTAGATTATTATCTTATATTATTTTATTATTTCTATTATTAGTTATTTAGCATATATAGCATAGTTAATATATTAAGTAGATATGATATTTCTGCTAGGTATGATTAATATATCAAATTAGTCTAATTTATTAAAGCAATTTAAGCAACCTGAGCAACTTGATCAAGTATATTAGATATATATATCAAAATTGATATATCTTATTTATTGTTTATATTTATTTTTCTTATATTTCAAACATATATAAATAGAACAGTTATTTTTCTTAACTGTTCAAAAAATTTTCCAATTTTTTTCAACTTTCTTTAATAAAAACTATCTTAAACTTATAATCAAATTATTTTGTCTCTTGTTTTTAAAATAAATCTTGTTCAATTTTTCATCTTATCAATACTAGTATATTATAACTAAGGTCATTTTTCTTTAAATTAAGTAATTTCCTACTATTGTTTTCTATTAATTTATTTAATTTTAAGATTTATCAAATAGATTAATAAAAATTAAGCTAGTGTCATGGGTAAAAAGTGGGGTACAATGACACAGTACGTGTTGTGTCATGTAAATGATATGTTTATGGTAGAATCGGTGGAAAAGTAGTGGTGGGAAAATTAGAGTAGAATGTCTTATGTAATCGTGTGGCACAAAGTGATTAGTATATAAACAATACTAGCATGTATAAATATGACCATCAAATGAGCGAAATAAAGCCAAGCAGACTTTAAGTAGCATTTACTGAAAAATCCGACTCAAAGCATTTAAACTCTTATTTGTGTTTACTATTTCTATTGATTGTTTTCACACCCATACCTTGCTCACGTGACTATACAAACCAGAGTTCAGCTAGAAAGATTAGAAAAGTTCTAGTAACTACAAGAGTTCCAGTATAGGACGTTCAGTGTAAAGTTAGGAAGTGAAACCAGATCATTCAAATCGTGACATGCCTCAAGAGTTTAAACCCATGTTATGCAAAGTTTACCTATCTTTGGCGACAGACTCGCCGGTTAACCTACAATACTAGGTTGCATAAAGATAAAATCTTTGATCTTTCTAATAATCGTGGGCTGAAAATAGATCGAAGCAAAAAAGATTACATAAGGCAAGGCTTCTGGTCTAATTTCAGTATAAGCCTACAATTCCAATTGGAATGACAGACTTCATATTACTATTCTTCCTATTCAGGTTGGCTAGTTTTCTAATTTAGGTCATACTCAATCAGCTAGTATTTCAAACTAGATTAGCAGACTCCAAAATTCGATTGGACCTCACCTTCCTATTTGATATTGGCACAATCCAAATTGGTGATCCAATTGGAAAAAAGTCAAGTCATAAGCCAAAAAGGAGACTGCTAAAAAGGTTTTTCACTGTTGATACAGGATTTTCCTTACCTTATGTTTACAAGTAGGGAGTCACAAGTATAAATCAGGGTATGGACTATACATATTGCTGAAATTCATAGATCCTTGACGCAATTGATGCAATTATTTGACGCAATTAATTGAGTCACTATTAAAACATATAAATAATTGAGTCATGATGCAATTATTTTTGAGAATTTTGGGAATTGAGTCAACAGCAAAATAATTTACACCACATGTATAGTATGGACCCACCTACTTGATATAAGTTGGTATTCTGGTAAAAATTGCAATAGGCGAAAATTAAATTACATTTTTTGTAAAGATCTTTAATGTAATAACTATAAATTCTCATTTAATAAAAGTCTTGCATTTAATGCTTATTTGCAAAATAATAATAATAATAATAATAATAAATAGGTTAACAATAGTAAGATATATATTACAAAAAAAACAATATCTTTTATATATATAAAATAGCAAGTTAAATACTAGCTTACCTACATATACATATTTAATTAATATTAAAAAAAATTCAAAATAATACTATATACTAACTGTGTCTAAATAGTGGTTATACTTATTTATTTAAAAAATTTTGTGAAATTCTTTTGTTTTTTTGAATATAAAATAGTTGAAAGAAAAGAAAAAACTAATATTACTAAAATTAAAACTAAATTAAATAAATTATAAAATCTATAAGTGTAAAACTAATTATTTACTAAAAAAAACTTTCAAACAAGCTTATTAACTCATCTCTTCAGTTCTTTGGTTACTATAGATAATAAAGTATATGTGATGCTATTTGTTATTATAATAGTTGTTATTATTGTTATACTAATATGTTTGCTGGTTAGTATAGTAATTGGTTTAATTGTTAATAGTATAATTTTTTTAAATATTACTAAAACTAAAATTAAGTCAAATAAACTATAAAATCTATAAGTAGAAAATCAATTATTTTCTCAAAAAAACTCTTGAATAAATCCATTGTTTTATTTTTTTTAGCTCTTTAATTATCATATTGTCATGGGCTAACTGGCGAGTCTGTTTCCAAAGATAGGTAAACTTCACGTAACGTGGGTTTAAACTCTTGAGGCATGTTACGATTTGACCGATCTGGTTTTGCTTCCTAACTTTACACCGAATGTCCTATACTGAAACTCTTGTAGTTGCTAGAATTTTTTCAATCTTTCTAGCCAAACTCTGGTTTGTATAGTCACGTAAGCAAGGTATGGGTGTGAAAACAATCGATAGAAATAGTAAACACAAATGAGAGTTTAAATGCTTCGAGTCGGATTTTTCAGTAAATGCTACCTAAAGTCTGCTTGGCTTTATTTTGCTCATTCGATGGTCATATTTATACATGCTAGTTTGTTTACATGCTAGTATTGTTTACATGCTAATTGCTTTGCGCCACACAATTACATAAGGCATTCTACTCTAATTTTCCCACCACTACTTTCCCACCGATTCTACTATAAACATACCATTTATGCGACACAACACGTATTGTGTCATTATACCCCACTTTTTACTCATGACAATATATAATAAAGTATGATATCATTTGTTATTATAGTAGTTATTATTATTGTTATATTGATATGTTTAGTAATTAATATGATAATTGGTTTTATTGTTAGTAATATAATTTTGTTTTGATTGTTTTTATCAAAAATAACTTTGTTTATATTAATTGTTATATAATATACTAGTAATACATATTTTTTTGATATTTGATAATGTTTAATTAGTTAAATTTGAAATAGTAATTAATTAATAGAAATAA